CCATATTGATTACTAAACCTCTATAGCAGTTGAATGTTTCAGAGAATACAATAGTCAGTATGTTACTACATTCAAGTAGAGACATTTTATTTTTCGTTTTGAATTGCAGCTCCCAGTGCAGAGTGGCAAGGTTTGGGTGTCCAATCACACTTCTTATGCTGTAACTCAAATGGTGCCTAAGGAAAAGAGGTTGATAAAATTATCACCAGTAGCAATAATGAAAGCTATCAAGAATGATACCGAGATCAAAGGTAAGCAGCCAGAATATTTTTACACTCCATAATATACCTCCAGTGTATATTTACTTACTTTCATTAATACAAGGGATTGAATTTGGTTATAGTTAGTTTTTGCACATCAGGGAATTATGATTTTTGCTGCTAGTGAAAGTTAGTGAAACTTATAAGAAAACTTGGTACCTTGGACATTCTCATAGACAAGAATAGGTTAGATTGGGAATGAAGTTACCATGTAGCAGTGATTGCTTATTCTTCTTTCCCTTTGTCTCAAGAAGGCTTGAGCATGGACTATCCAGGAACATATATTTATTGTAAGACTGTTAACTGTGGGTGATGATTTAGTCATGACATTCATCTTGTCGAAGCATCACTTGCTGTTATTGCTAATGGAAAGGTCTTATTGCTTTGTAAGTGCTAGATGTCCTTCAGGTAATATATAGTTTGTGTAAATTATTTAATATTCAAAATTTGCATTATTGTCCAAAGAAGCGGTTCCTGATATCTTACTTTATTTTTGGAGATGAGAATTTTAAATAATCACAATGACTTTTTCCTTTTACAGGAATGGAGGAGTGTCATATTCGTGATGCAGCTGCACTGTGCCTTTATTTCTCTTGGCTTGAAAAGGAGGCTGCAAAAGGAACTCAGACTGAAATATCTGCAGCTGACCAGCTTCAAAAATTTAGAGAGTAAGATCCTGTTTCATGTTTTTTTCTATCATCAGTTTGATTATCCAGGTGTTGCTTCATTTCATTGCACAGTATATATATTTTTATGGGCATTTTACTATATATAACTCGCAAATTTCCTTCCATTATATTTGTATCACAGTTAACCATTTCATTTTTCTGCCCAAGGTTTTGAATTCATCAGCAAGCATTTTAAAACTTGATCTTTTTAACAAAGATAGATCCCTTTTCTGCAAGGGCAATACAATTCAAGATATATAACTGTCCTCAGGTAACATTAACAGTGACTGTTGCTAGTACCGAGATCAGAGCTGAATATAAGCACTCACACAGTCATATAGGTCTGCAACAACATCAGTTCTCATGATTTTTTCCCCATCTTCTGCAACAGAGAACAGGAGAACTTAGTTGGTCTCAGTTTCTCTACTATCTCATCAGTTGGACCCAATGCTGCAGTAATCCACTATTCTCCGGCCCCTGAAACTGACCGAAAGATTACTACTGATGAGGTTTATCTCTGCGATTCTGGGGGACAGTATAAGTAGGTAACATTTTCATTGCTTTACTCTTTACATTTATAGGTTAAGAAAAAAAACACTATTGTGTATGTTGAAGTTTATTAATATGCAGCAAGGGAATAACCCAATCGGCATGTATGGCAAGAATACATACCATACCCACTGTAATACAAGTTTTTTTATTGTATTTACACACAGATGGTTCTACAAGTGCTTAGTCACCAAGTAGTCAGTTATTAATCCTTCCTATCTCACCTGTTTACCCTTTTCTTTGACTTTTGGAAAGGGTCTCTAGCATTATTTCATTGTTTCAAATGTTGTCAATATTTTAATAACAATTTGATAATCATAGCATCAGTAACAGTAATAACAGTATCGATATCAACTGTATTAACCCATTGCCGACGGGCATGCCATGCCATGCCCACTGTGAGATTACTTGTTTGATTGTTTTTACACATAGATGGCTGCACTTGTACTAAATCACCAATGAGCTAATTACGAGTACTGTCTGTCTCGCCCATTTACCCTTTTCTTTGATTTACGAAATATTTTACGTTATCTTATTTTACTAATGTTAAAAAACATAATGATTATTATGGTTATAATAGAAATAACACCATCGATATTCATGGCACTAGTGAAAAATACGTTTTTCCCACCATTTTAAATCAGGCACTAACAGAGCCATCTATGGGCAGACATTTCACAAAAAAATATAGAAAATAGGCACAGCATTTTCCCAATTTTTTTTTCATTTTCCCTGGCGGCAATGGGTTAATAAGAAAAACACATTTGCTCGCCAATTAAAGGAATGGGGAAATCGGGATTGGTCACAAGGGCCTACTGATAGACTCCTTGGCGGCTGAGTACATGTGGAGCCATCTGTATGGAACAATATTCACAAAAAAATAGAGGGGACAGAACATAAATCCGAGACAGTTGGGTTAACAGTTAGCCAAAATAAGAAAATTATTTTCTTTTTACTCCTCAACCATGTCAGACATTAATTTCCTTTTTAGCCTCTTTCCCTCCTTATCTTCTTGTCATTTGCCATCTTTTTAACATAATATATATATACAGGGATGGAACAACAGATGTTACAAGAACCCTCCATTTTGGCACACCTGACCAGTTTTTGCAGGAGTGTTTCACTCGTGTCCTGAAGGGGCAAATTGCCATGGCATCCTGCATCTTCCCCACCAAAATCAAGGTGAATATGTGTGAAGTTTCTTTTTTAAAATATGAAAGGATTTCAGTACTGATGTATTTGTTACTCCTTGGATAATAATTTAGCATTATTCCTATAAATTTTCTGTAAATAAACTAAAAAAAAAAAAAAAAAAATCTTTGTATTTTAAAAGAAGCTCAAAATGAGCATTGTATAGTTTAGGAATTATAGAATATACATAAATTTTAGGAGTACAAAGATTGTCGTTAAAAATATTAGGAAGTATTTATTTACCTTAGTGAGATTGCCAGGTTTGAAAAATGTTTACCCACAACCTGTTCATTATGAATCTGCTAACTGTTATCTCCTTTCCTAACTATTTTCTATCAATATTTTTGTTATCCTATAATCATATAAATAACCTCTATAGTGTTTTATTTTCTTTCTTATTCTGTTACAAAAATTTTATTATATACATCTAGTGTCCTTCTACATCACTGGCATTCTGTATCCCTCCAGGGTAACTGTTTAGACACCCTTGCCCGCAAGGCCCTTTGGGATGTCGGCCTAGACTATGGGCATGGAACAGGGCATGGGATTGGCATGTACCTGAATGTGCACGAGGGGCCAATGGGTGTGTCATGGCGGTCATACCCAGATGACCCAGGCCTGCAAGAAGGCATGTTCCTCTCTGATGGTATGTAAAGACAAATGTGTTATGATGATAGCTCTTGCTATTAGATAGTACCTGTTCTCTGTAAAGTAATTTGACCCTTTTATAACTTTATACCATGCTTATGTTGCTAAAAGATATCTCTTCCTACACCAGAACCTGGCTACTATGAGGATGGAAAATTTGGCATTCGTATTGAAAATATTGTTCGCATTGTGAAAGCTGAAACTCCACACAACCATCGTGATCGAGGGTTCCTCACCTTTAAGACAGTCACTCTTGTCCCAATTCAGACAAAACTGGTGGATCCGACCATGCTGACAAGACAAGAGGTGAATAACATGACAATAAGAGCATTTTCTTTTATTATATTTTGTATATGTATATATATTTTAAATGAGATATAAGTATCATGGGTTTTGTTCTTTAGACAACTATAAGAATGTTTCTCTCCCTCCCTCCCTCCCTCCCTTTCCCTCTCCCTCCCCCTCCCTCTCCCTCTTCCTCCCTCTCTTCCTTGCTCTCTCCCTTCCTTCCTTGCTCCCTCCCTCCCTCCCTCCCTCCCTCTCCTGATCACCTCCCCCCCTTCTCCCCCTCTCTCTCTCTCCCTCTTTCTCCCTCTCTCTCTTGCTTTTTCCCTCCTTCCTCCTCCTCCTTTTCTCTCTCTCTCACTCTCTCTCTCTCTTTCTCTCTCTCTTTCTCTCTCTCTCTCTCTCTCTCTCTCTCTCTCTCTCTCTCTCTCTCTCTCTCTCTCTCTCTCTCTCTCTCTCCCTCTCTCAACCTCTTGTTCTCTCCCTTGTGCTCTCTCTCTCTTTATATTGTATGACCAAGTGCGCTTGTTCTTTACAGATTGATTGGCTGAACAGATACCATGCGGAATGTCGGGACAAGGTTGGAAAACTTTTGCTAGAGCAAGGTCACAAGGAGGCTTATGATTGGCTTGTAAGGGAAACTCAGCCTATTGGCTAATAAGAATGAAATGAAAAATCAGTGACTGTAGATTCCTATGTTTTACTATGAAAATATAGTGAGATTTCAAAACTGGCACCTAAAGTGACAAGGGCCACAGTGGGTTTAATAATTGAAATATATGTAGACTGTGCTTTTTAAGTGATTAATTTTAGAGTTTGGGGATAGATTCCTTATGTTTTACGTTTAACACAAATTGGTGCGCAATGAAACTGAACCAGGTTCCCTTTAGGTACATATACTGAAACATATTGCCTATCACTGCCATGTTAAATGTCAAGGATTCTTGATGTTTCCAGATGAAGACAATGTGTCATGTGCTAATTTACAAATATGAATGTGCTCTTTTAATAAAATAATCAATAAGGTTTTAGATTTTCATTATCAGTGACACATTAAATTAAACATGTGAAAATTGATTAATATTGTCTTTTCTAGACATAATTTTGCACAGTCTTTTCCTCTCCCCCTTTCCTTTTCCTTCTCTGCTTCATCCCCTTCATCTGTCCACTTCCTAAGATGTGAGAGCCATGCTGAAAAGATGAAAGGCTGTTTTTGTGTCAGTCATGAATGACCTCTGGGAGCCATGGCAAGGTATTCCATTGGTTAATCACCTTGCCCTTAACCATATGAGGAGACCGTCTTCTCCCCATTTATTTCAGGCTCACCATGGCCAATACTGAAGACTTTTTATCCTTATTAAGGACATTAAGGCTTAATTTAATTGGTTTCCCGACCCCT